CTATCGAAAAACCAAAAAGCCTAGGGTATGTAAATATACGAGTTTTAGTGTAGACAATTACCTGTAGGGCGCGGCCGATTGTGTGTGAATATGTCATGGCTGCGTTATCATTGTACAACGGTTAGTGATAAACATTGAGAGATTGAGACCAAATTGCGCGTAACTTCTGCATTCTATAGTGAGTGCCTTAAATTGAAGAGAACTTTTCAAGTTTTTCCCGTTTCAGATTTTCATCAAATATTTAAATGAATTCCGATCATTTTTGGACTGAGTTTTCGAAACTCAATGAAGTTTACATTTGTTATGTTTTTAATCCGCTATTCATGGCATTCGAAGAAACACAGCAAAGCTTTTCATGCCACCCTTTGCAGTTTACAAACGGTACGGAGAAATTAATATATCAGCGTTCTGTGACGGTAGCTGCAGAAATATAACATAAACTATAGTTTTTTATTTTAATCAACACGAATTTTTTTGACATATTTTTATCATCATCATCATTATTAGTACTTTTTTGTGTGGCTCTGCAACTGCTACCACCGCTGCTTCTACTATTACTACTATTGCTACTACTACTACTACTACTAGCACTACTATCACTACATAGCTGCTGCTGTTGATAGTCTGAACTGGATGGTGCTGGCTGGTGACATATTATCAAATCAAGGACATACACACATTGTATGCATCTATCCATGTGCCAGTATGTGACTGAATATGTTGTGAGGAAAATGAGAAATGAAAGCAACAAAGAAGAAAAAAAAAAAATGAAAGAAAAAATTGGCAAAAAAAAAAAAAAATGAGAAGAAAAATGCGTTGTGTGTTTCAGTGACAGCTGACATTTACTTAAGTTTTGTTTTTCTTTTCTTCGTTTCATTCCAATTTATGTATGATTTTCCTTAAAGAGAAATGCTTTTCTAAAGACGAAGCTGCTAATTGCTGCAGTTTGTCGAAAGGATACATTGTGTGGTTATGTTTTCCCCCTTAACAATGCAGAGAGTAATTTGTTATCAAGTGTTACATGATTTCCTAATTCCTTCGAACGTGGACATGGAGATGTGATTATTCACATCTCCTTAAGAAACGACGATAACTGAAATTTTTTCAATAAAAATTTTAATATCAAAGTTTTTTTAGTTCGACTTTTTAAAAGCAAATCTTTCTTTTGCATGCTTTTCATCTCACATGACTGACGTTTTGACTTAAATTTGTTTCTTTATTATATGCGGAAGTCGGTTAACTGCATCCGTTTGATTGTTTATCCTTTTGTTCGTTAAAATCGCTATCACTTCATACATATCTCACACATATAAAATTTTATTTTTGTTGCTTAACCTTCTCTTGTCATACGCCACGCCACGTCCTGCGTAGCACTTGAGATAAATACACTTTTTGTACCAATCAACGGAGGATGAAGGATATATTCATATTGTCGAAGCTCTTGCATCACCGGGAAGGAAGCTTCAGAGATTCCACAAAGAATATATATATTTTTGATCAGCATCAAATTCTGAATCGATTTAAGCTGAACATTGCCAGCTGAAACATGGCAAAATCTTAAGCGGATACTGGTATTGAAAATAGGCTAAATCGGTTGAACGAGGTGATACCACATAAAATGAAAACATCTCTGTTTTTCGGAAGAAATAAAGAATTGGTTTTTAGCTCATTACGCACAACGTACAGCATAGAAATCTACAAAAATTTTGATATACATTCTATGGTCGATGTTCGTAACTGTACAAAAATGGAAAACATTTAGCACGCTTACCTAACATTACAATATATCTAAATATAAATTTTAGGTCAAAGCCTTTGCAACACATAGGACCAAGCTTCAACAATCCCATAGAGAATATATATTCTTGATCAGCTGTCCATCTGTCCGTCTTCCCAATTGTGTAGTATGTGTGCTAAACGTTTTCCCGTTTGAAAAAACCAAGGGGAAGGGAAGAGTTTGAAAATTGCCAAAATCGCTCAAAGGGCACGCCTACGCCACGAAATGTAAGAACATCTTTGGTTTCCATGTTTTTGCTTATTGCTCGTAAACTACAACTGACCCACGATATAAATTTCACTTTTTATTCTAAAATCTAGAAAAAATCAGCCACGCCCATCCAATACTATAGGGTATGAAAATTAATTTTTTTTTTTCACTAACGATAATGAGTACAAGAACCGAATCTAATTTATTTTCTTGTTATTTACATTAATCTATTCAGAATGATATTCGCAATCTGGCTTTCGGATGGTTGCCAGAAGAAGACGCAGTAGCAAAGAAAAGAAAACATATCGGGACATGGCCGCCGCTTAGTGGGTTTGTGTGCATAATCGCTTACGTATTATTATGCTTTTACACAACTCGCTACAGCTACGTCCAAAGTGGACCATACCGCATTGGAATTTGAATCCGTGAATACAAATTTGTTAGTCGGGGTTCCTACCTACTTGGCCACTCTTCCGGTTTGAACGAAAGTGTGAATATGATTTGGATGGCAGCATTTTTACGACACTTTCTTATATAACGTGCTATTGTGAACAGTCCGCATCTGAGTTGGAATTTTTAATAATTTTGCGAAAGATACGCAAAATACAGAATTTTGACATCTTAAAGGAATAGGACAAATCTAGATAGGATAAGAAAGTTCTTATAAACATAGCTTTTCTCGTATCAATTAAATGAAGTTTCCGATAGTTTGTGATGAAAATCGGTCTAATATAGTAACTTGACACAGAAATTTATTTGGATCACATCGATCTATTTCTTCGAGTTTTTCTAGCATAAGATTTGTGACGAGGTATGGCAACAAGATATAGTTTTTGATGCTTTATGAAGAAAGTGGGTGAATGATTGCATGAAAAGAAGCGGTGTGTAGGGTGACGGTCAACTTTGCACGTCTACAAATTTTTAATTTTTTTTACATCAGGTTCACTAATCCAATAAATCAATCCAACGCATCACCTACAACTAAGCAAAAATCTATGAATTAGAAAAGTAAACCTTAGCAAAGTTTGTACAAACGTTACACTCGACCTTTTTATGAACAGCAGGCTGCTCTTTTTTGTAACATACTTTTTAATTTTTGAACTTCTTATTCTTTATTTCATATATCATTTCATTTTGTCACTCGTAATGTCAAGATAACTTGGACATCTATTGAGACATTATCAACACATTTTGTGAGTGAGTGGTTTCCTGCTCTTATTATATGACATGTTAAGATGTTCAATATGTTCTCGGTATACCCCATGGAAAAATGTGGCAAGTGGAAAGACGAATATCTACCCCCCCGCCCTCCCCCCACAATCAACTCTGACTCCTTTTTGTTCTCTCTCTCTCTCTCTTTTCGCCTCTTTCACCGTCTGGCTTCAAGCTTTGCGTAGCAGTAGATTTTGTCCAAGTGAAATATAAACAAGACAGCTTTTTATGAGCTTTGAATAGATCGAGTTACATATGGCAAAAGAAAAGTAAATTTCAAATGAGCCATGGTTTGCTTTTTCTACTTATTTCGAACGATAATTGTTCACTCGCTCTTTTTGTTACATTTCTGAACGTAACGGAACACGATGACTTTCATTTTCCATTTGGAATATCAATATCGAGCGCAAACCTTTAAATTATACTTTTCAAGGGTTGTCTTGACTCACGACACATTGAGATGACTGTCAATTATTAAAAATCAGGTACGAATTTTTACAATTATCCGATATACTATATAATCTTTTCAAACTTTGAGGTAAATCACATAAATATTGTTCGCTGTAGAATGCACTACTTTTAAGATCAGCTGAATTTAATATATCTGCCTTTACTATGCTATGGTTTTCTGCATTCATTTATGTTAATCCCATTCATAATGTTAGCTGATAAGTATGCAATAGCAAATCAATAAATCAAAACCAAAGATGAAAACTCAATACGCGAAAGCTTGTTGTCTTCGATAAGGATAATAATTAATTTTAATACACGGAATTAACAAAGTTTAAATATTCGCCGGATTATTAGATTATTAGCTTGACTGGCTTTCTTTACGCCAAAGTAAAAAGAATAGAAAGATAACGAGTATGAAAAATTCTCAATGTACAGAGCATAGATATATTGTAGGTAGGCATTGTTACAAGGTACAAGCTTTTCTTTTTGGCAAACTTATTTATAAAAGTCAATGAGAGTCGTGCCCCAAGTTCATCTGCCTATTTTTGAAAAGGCCAATAAAAGAGGAGAACGTTTCAGAATCTCATTAAGAAGTGAGCGTGACCTCTTCTCACCACACTCTGATGGTGATGGTTGTGCCTAAGCAAAAATCGAAAAAATGTGTATGTGTTGATGTGTAAGTGGGTGGTCTTGAAATTTAAAATTCATTTTTATTTAATTTATAAACTGTCAGTTCATGTTCAGGATGCTTTTCACAGAATGAAACAAGTCAAAATGAAAGCAAAATTTATTACAATTTTTCTCCTTTTTTTTCCCTTTACAGACCGAAACAGACGAAAACCGCAATTATCCCAGAATTTGTGCTAAAATGTATTTGAGCAAAAGCATCTCACCAAACAAGATGAACAGAAGGGAAACCAAGATACACATGTAAGAGCGTAAGTCTTAAATAAATCACAGAAAGCAAAAAGTAAAACAACAAATACGACAAAAACAACTCGAGAGTAACCAGAACCAGAGAACATAATACTGACATCATTAGAAAGAAATCATATGTGGCTGAACAAGTTAACAGAGGGAAATCTAACAAAATGTTGAACAGACAAAAAGACAGCAATGGTCGAACACAATTAAAAATTCAACAACAACAACAACAACAACAACATCCCAAACAGGAAAAACTTAATAATAATAACAACAAAACTACAAATCCACAGTGGCAGCAATTGAAAGACCACAAAAAGCCAAAGCAACATGTAAACTTTATAACTTAGAAGAAGAAGAAGACTAGCACCTAGACGAAGAAGAAGAAGGAGAAGAAGAAGAAGAAGCAGTAGAACCGATAAAGAAAGCGAAAAAGAGAGAGAGAAAAGGAGAGAGAGAGAGAGAGTGAGAGCGAGAGAGAAAAGAAATAGGATAAACGTAGCTCAAGTGATATTTACGCAAAAATTTAAAAAAAAAAAAAAATAAATAAATATTCAACTAAAAACATAACTAAGAATTGTGTTAAAAAATTCCTCAAAATGAATTTTTCGAAATCAAAAGCAAGCCGTAGTCTTTAAGTGAATAACTACTATATATATATATATATATATATATGTATATATATATATAAATATATATGTACATCAAGTGCAAAAGATTTTTGACTCTATAAACAATTTACGATCATACGAAACAACGAATCTTTCAGTTTTCATATTATAATCAACCATCAAAATGAGTAATGATCAAACACCAACACCCAATGATGAAAAAGGTAAGTAAGAATCAATTGGAAACCTTTCGTGAGATCTTTACCTTTTTTTTGACTCCACACAAAAATGTTCTGCTTAAAGGTTTTTTAAAATCTTAGACGAAACATAACAGTAAGGCCTCTAAACCCATAACAGCGTAAGTTAAGTTGAATCAATGCTCTACATAAGGCGTTTAAGTTGTTTTTCTCCTTTGCCACCGCTTTAATTTCTTCTTTGCGAACAATTTTTGTATTTAATCGCTCGTCACCTATAAGTTCCTCGGCAGCTCCAATTTTTGTGAAAGTCATCGCCATCATGCAATCAAACTTTAGGACAATTTCAGAATTGCAAGAGCAGAGTGGTGACGGTAGTAATAAGGTTTGTAAAATGTTTGTACCCCATGACGGCGACTTAGAGAACAGGGAACAGACATCTTAGATATAATAAAAGGTACGTCTATCTTAATCCCTCATGGGTACGTCCGGCTAATATTTTATGAACATCGTCCATTTTAGCAGAATTATTTAATTTTTCATAACTATTGGGTCTAACTACATCAGTGCAATAGATTTTATTAAGATGTATCAAGAACTGCGACTTGTAGGTTGAACACAAATTTACATGAACAGACATCAGGCGGACAGACAACTTTGAATAGATTCAGGAAAAGATTCTGAATCGATCGACAGTCTATCTTAAGCCCTTCTGAATGTTACATACGTTCGCACAAGGTTAATATACCCTGTAGCACAAGAGATATAAAAATAGAAAAAATAAAGAATGCCTTAAATAAAATATGTACAAATAAACAAATAAAAGTTAAAAAAAAGAAGGCAAATTTGGTGCACGCCCACCTAACCTGAAACTATAAAGCTTTATGAATATAGGGTGGAAAGGTACCACTACATCGGCGCAAGCAAGTAAAGTTTGGCAATCACTTGTTGGAAAACTTAAGATTTCAGAACAGCCACGCCTCGATCACATTGTTCGATCGTCAATAGCGAAGTTGGATGATGTGCTGCAAAGAGCCCGAAAGGTGTTCAACACATCATAATTGAGCCGATATTGATTAAAATTGACGCCCTAAGCGATGAAGGGGCGCGCCGTTAATCTTGATCTGTTTTCTTGCTTTCCGTAAATACTGTTTCAATGACTCGATACCGTAAGCTATGAAAATAGCGAAGAAATAACTTGACGAGCTTTCAAAGAACGTCTACACTTTGATATCAACACGTTTGAGTTTTGAATCGAGAAGAAGAAATGAAAAGCGAAAAGGTGTAAAGAGATATCAACCAGTGCTCGCGACGTAACGTATAAAATATACTTGCAAAACGACAGGCAGACGCTAATAAAATTACGGCAAGAGTTTAACACATTCCTCAGTTGACGGTGTGCAGTAAAGATAATAGCAACAAAAAGCTGCTCGTCTTTCGATGTCTAATTTCTTGAGTTGTTTCCTCCGTCCTTTGTTCCTGCTAACTGTTACTTTAACTGTTACGAAAACATTCGTTAAAATCAATGATGAATGAAAGGAAGAAACTGATGGGAACGTTCAAAACTAAACCAAATGTTTTTTAAAGTTTTTTTTCCATTACTTACGTAACATTGCACTACATACATAACGGCTTGAAGACTTGCACAAATAATTACCACAACGATGTGAGAGTTTATTGCGGAACACAATTAACTAAAAATTATTTATAGTTTTCTTCTCGTTTTTTATTCGCTTAGCAAGTAACTTCTAGAACATTTTCACTTCCTTGCAGAAAAGTATGACGATAACTTGGAAAAATGTTCGTTTTTTAAATTAATTTTTCGAAAACTTTCTAAAATAAATATTTGTGTCGTCATAAAGTAAACTTTAATAATAGTTAAAGTGGTGTTCGCATCTAAGTTTAGACCATAAACACACACACACACATATATATATATATATATATATATATATTTTACCAAAGTAATGTTAACAGTTTCTTTTTCCTATAGTACGTGTGTTGGCGTTTATGTGGTTTCGTAATAGAAAATTCTACTTATAGAGGATTTTAACATAACGGAAATTCTTGTGTGCATACCGAAAATCATACCCCATATCCGTTTCCTGACAAAATTATTTACGCCGTAATGTAATTATGATAATGAAGAAGTGTCACCCACTCATCCCCCCCTCCCTCCGTCCGTCAGCCGATTTCAACTCACACACTCCTACAGCCATTGCCTTTGCATGGCCAGAGTTAGCGAAGCTTAATTTTACAAATAACGAGAAAGCAACTTAACTTAACTTAAATTTTCAGCTATTGTTTCTTTTTTTGTCTTTTAATTTTCCCTTTTCTACGTTGAGCATGGAAAGTAAAGTAAGTAAATGGAGTGGAAAACAAGTTAAAAGCATATAAATCAATTTAAGTTACAATTTACACTTGTTTCCACTTGTACTGAAAACCCTATGAAACCGAGTGCGAGTGAATATCAGCTGAAGAGAATAAAATCAAAACAGAAAAAGAAACGAAAACTGAAACTGAAAATGAAACAAAAAACTCATACTTTGTAATATGTTGTTAGTTTCAACAGGGAGTCCACCAACAATAATCGACATGAATTGTAGAGCAGGAGATAATAAACTGCACGCTTTTTGTTAAGACAGCTCATCGGTCAATAATTTCCGAGAACCGGCACATATATGCCGTCTCTTCAATCAAACAATTCATATTATCTTTATAAAAAGCTCGCCCTCGAAAGAAGTTTCCCCAAAATTTCATGTCCTTTTGGCCATTTTTTGTACACGATGTACACGACGACGATGTCTGACGATCTTGTTCTTTTTTTTCGAACTGAGCAGCATCTTGAAAAGTCTTACGGCAACTGTTCCATGTCGAAAAAAAAGGAATTGTCTTCACCTTAAGCACCGAAGACGGTGTAAGCGCGGGATGACCAGAAAGGGTGAGTGGGTTACACCAGAAAAAAAATCAAAAGTTATTTTCGATGATCAAAAATGAGGTTAGAAAGGACTGTTCATGCCCTAAACATGCATTGTGTTCACTAATTTGCATGAAAATTTGGACATAAAATGTCGGCTTTTCAAATTGCTACCGACCCCCATTTATTCACGATGGTGCAAGTACGCCTTTTCGCAAGCTGATGATGGCAACAAAAGTTGATTGAATTGAAGTTTGGGATCGTTGCCCCACCCTCCAAAATCTACACATCCAATCACCTAACTCACTATTATGCATTTACAAAGTTCAATATGTTGCACTACGGAACAGATTTGGATCACACCATGGGTTCATTGCGGAAACTGAAACGTGTTTTGAGCATCTTGAAAAACCCTTCTATAATAAAAATGACGAAATGTTAGGGACATATAGAAATGATGGCGTCACGCTTGAAGAAAGCTGTCTTGAGAAGTAGTCGAATTTTCTAAAAAATGTTTTACTTATTTATTCCTGGGACTTACTGATCAATTTGTGTTAAATAGCATCATTTTTTAGTTTTTTGTAGTTTTTCTTTCTTTCTCTTTATGCAAAACCCCTAAAATTAAGGTCAGTTTAGTTTTAACAGAGGATTGAATTATGTTAAACGATTTCAAAGAATTTTTCATAAATTATCTGACTTTTCATTCTAAACCTTAAAGCAAGCGCTAAAGGGATTTGTTTCTATTTAGCATAAAAAGATTTCACTGAAAGACGCATAAGAAAGTTATACTCAGCTTAAGATGAATTTCATTTAGATCCATTACCTTAGAAGAATTGTAGAGTGTTTCGTTAAATGTTAATTTCATGGGCTTCTCTATGAGTAGAGTCCCCAGGTGACCAAATTTACACGTTCGGTCTCAACTGTGCCCTTTAATCGCACTAATTGTTGATAGCGGAGAATAAATTGGACAGTTTTGAACGGCTTCCCTCCAAACCCACTAATCATCAAGCTTAAGCCCACTAATGGCATTGTATGGCGTCAATGCCAACTTTGCCAGAGCTTATGCAGTGTCGTGCATTGTGGACCGCATTATTTTTCGTACATTATCCTCTTATATGACCCATTTTTCATCAGTGGAGGTTGACGGTCTTCCTGAACGATGTTCGTCCATCTCTCGAACTCAAATACACGACCTCACACTGAAGGTAATCAATAAATCGTGCAAAAGTGAAATCATAAATCTCTAACCACCACTGTTAAAACAAGTTATCACCTCACGTACTACTAATAGGTCTAATAACGGGTTTCATTGCATTCTTTGCCTTGTTGTCTTTGTATTTTACACCACTTTCTCTATAATAATAGATGGCAGTGACACGTCATTTCTCTCTCTTGCGACTTCGATGTACGACATTTGACTTCAAAGCGAGTTAAGTTATGTTAACTGAAGAGTTTCTTTTCCAATCACACTTTCACTTTTCTTTCCTTATTTTTTAACGTCTTTTTTCTTGGGCATGTTAACTGTAGGTTTAATTAATAACAATTAATATTTTTTTGGCGGTGAAGATTGAACCAATATTTCATAAACTTTTAATTATAATAAAATGTTTTTATTTCAACATTATCTTGGTTATCTAAAGACGAAATATTTCATAAAACAGTGTTACTAATATGCGAATAGCTATGTTCGGCTTGAATGTTGTTATAAGAAATGTTTCAAGATATATACAATTAACATTTCCTTCCAAAGCATCTGTTTATCGTACATATACCACAAATAAAAGATGAAAAGCAGAAGAACTATTAACGCGTTGGGAAATGTCCTGAAAATCCTTTAACTTCTGTGCGCACATTAGTAGACTCTTAAGAGCACTTTTCATTTAAAATTTTTATACAGTTTCGCTTTATATTTAGTTTAAAAGGCAAATGGGTTTTTCACCCATGCAACGAAGGATGAGAGAATATTCACTATGTCACTATATTTGCGTTGTCGAGAAAGAGGATTCCGAGACCTGACAAAATATCTCTGTTTCCGATCAGTATCAAAGGTTGAATCAATTTAAAAATGTCCGTCCGTCAGTGTTCGTGATATCGGTAGCAAACATCCTGTAGA